GAAATGCAAGGGGGCGTGCAGCCCCTCTAAATCCCACTGCAAATACGCCGACGCCGCGCCCGGCCAGACGAAGGCCCAGTGCGCGTGCAAGGGCTGCCACGTACTCGGAGCGTTGTTCAAGGAGCACGGCTCCGCCGTTAAGGCTTTCCTCAACGCCAGGCTCGTGGTCGCCCACGTCACGAAGGCTGACCAGAACATGATTGCCGCCCTGAAGCCGGTCAGCCACATGAGTCCACAAGCGCAGCGATCCTGGGAGAAAGACGAACTCGCACGGGTGAGGGCGCTCGCCGAAGCCAGGCGGAAGTTCTTGGAGTGCAAAGCTGCGGGCGGCGGCGCTATCACGGGCGACGTCGACATGAGGGGCGTGCAGCTGCTGGACAAAGCGCGCTTACTCGTGCTCCAGAACGAGGGCGGCCTGCGCCAGAGCGCCATGAAGGGCATGTTCTTGGCGTTCATGTCGGCCCTGGTGCGGCGTCAGGAGGCGGAGAAACGGTGCGGGGGCGGAGAGTCGAGATGCCCTCTTCGCGGCATGCGATACAACGACGCTTGGAAGGCCATGTCCGTCGCCTTGTGGACGATGAACAGGAAGTCCGCCCAGTTCACCAGAGCCAACCTCGCCATGGGGGCCGTGCCGACCGAGGGGTGGGTCCGGAAGACAGCGCCTGTCCCAAAGTACAATTTGCTTGACCTCAGTGACTCCATCGCGTCGGAGAGGTGTCGGCGCATTGCGCGCGTTTTGGCGGATGGCGGCGAGGACGTGTGTCTGCTCATGGTCGACGAGCTTGTTTGCCAAGCTGCACTCCAGTTTTTCCCGGCGACTTGGTCTCGTCGTCGGTTCGGCAGAGATCCCTGGCAAGGCGGGCGCGGCTATTGCTCCAGCGGCTGCTGAAGAGAACGCCGGCAAAGTCAGGCTGGCCACCAAGGTGAAGTTCTTCACGCTCGTCGGCGCCCGCGACTCGGTCGCGCACACTTTCGCGATGCGCCCCGGCGACGCAAACGGTGCCGAGGAGGCCTCTATCAACGCCGACATCAAGCAGCACGTCAAGGAGGCGCGCAAGGAGATCGGCCCGAAGTTCCGGGGCCTGCAGGCCGACTGCATCGCCAAAGAAAAAGGCACCATATTCAAGTCCGTGCCCCTCTACATCCAGGCCGACGAGGAGAGCCGCCTCGCCATGGAAGTGGGCGTCGACGGCGTGGACCTCAACCACCAGCTCAGAAACGGGCGCAACAGAGGCGCCTTCGGGTCGCGTCCTGGGCCTTCTACTTCGACGATGACTGTGAATAGCGCGCTGTTCGGATACGCTGGCGCTGAGCTCTCGTTGATCCAGGTGAAGGACTGCTGCTCGGATTGGCGGGTCACTGCGCTGTTCAAAATGCTCGAGTTCATGGGCGACATTCAGGAGCACTGCGGACGGCCGATGTCTGAGCTTTTGGGTACCACCGTGTACTTTTTTTCAGCATGTCGACCGTGGCGACAGCCACCCGTTGCAAATCTGACAAGCTCAGTAAGCCCGACAGGATCTTCATCTATCATTGGGGTCTCGCGGTGCTCACGAGCTTCAAGATGCCGAGCGCGACGCTGAAGAATTGGGTGGTCTGCCTGTTCCCTTTGGCATTCGCCCTGGCCAGGAAGGGCGTCGGCAAGCCGCGGCGCATCGCAACGGCGATGTTGGAGTACTACTTCGGGCAGCTCAGGTGCCGGAACACGTGCGACGCGCTGACCGTGAACATGATGATGGACATCGTCAACCGGATGCAGAGGTTCCAGGAGGTGCGTGGAGCGCACGGCTGGAGCACTGGCCACGAGGCAAACCGCCACTACACATCTTGCGTTGAGTCCCAATTCCATGCCCCTGACCGCGGGGTCGACCCGGACGAGCAGATCTGCGATGCCGAGCACTTGTTGATCCTCAATCAGGCGTGCGCCAGCGCACGGGGCTTCCTCGTCAGAGTCTGTAAGCTCCAAGAGGACGAGTTGAGCTTCGCGCTCCAGCACGGCGCGCGCAAATCCATGAGCGAGCACGCGTCGGCAATGGCAGAGGTTTTGGGGCAGGATGACCCAGCATCGCGCGACTCCTTGGAGGTAGAGGCCGAAGATTACCCGCATTTGTCCGACAGCGCCCCTGTCTCTTCCGAGGACGCGGCCGCGGCGACTCTGCAGATGGCCACGAAGGATCTCGACAAGGACGCCGACCAGGAGTTCGAGGACATCGCCGAGGAGTGCAAGAGAGCCGGGGCCGCGGCTCCCGAGCCCTACGAGGTATCAGATACCGCGGCTCTGGCTTTCCTGGCTGCGCTCAGACCCGGCTTGGAGGAGTTGGGATCGAAGCCCCCCGAGCATGCGCAGCAGGCCGTCAGGAAGTTGCCCCTGCTCGCCGAGTACTGCTCGCTCGCAACGCCCAAGGTCAAGAGCAGTTCCTTGATGAGGAAGCGCACCATTCTCGAGCGTCTCAAGCAGTCCTCCGCGAAGGCCGCGTCCACGACTTCCCCCGCTTGGGCGTTCTCCGCCATCGTCTACAACCCGAAGGACGGCCACTTCGATCGCGTGGTGAATATCTTCAAGCTGACCTACAGGAGGTGGCTGATCCTCGAGGGGCCCGCGGACGAGCGGAAGGCATTGCGGCAGCTGAAGCGCCTGAGTGACAACGAGCATCGCGCCACCTACGAGCTCGTGGTCCCGTGCGACGTCGAGACGCTCGGCGAGGACATCTCTTGGTGCATTACCCGCCCGGGCCCAGACTCTGGCCAGCGAGGGAACCACACGCGCGTCTTGAACATGCTCACAAGCGAAGTCCACGTACTCCCCGGCGAGCACGCCGTTATGCAGGAGTGGAGGGACAAGTCCAAGGCCCCATTCAAGAAGGAGGAGACGTACATACGGAACGTCCTCAAGCTCTTCGTTGAGGAGTCTAAGGTCCCATGGGGGGATAAGGTGGACAGCCGGCCCCTCTCGTGTGTCCTGAAAGTTTTGGACCTCCTCGTTGAGTCTTCTCACCTGATGACGTACTAACTGCTCTCGTACTGTGGCTCGGGGCAAGCCATGGTGCACCTGCGGAACCATCTGCCCGCTGACCAGGCCGCGGCGGAGAAGCTCGGGGCGAAAATCAAGCACGTCTTGGACGCGTCGAAGCAGACGAGGCAGAAGAAGAGCCAGAGCCACCAATGGGGCTCGTAGGGTCGAGCCCGGGACAAGGGCTGCAGGAGGAGTGCGTCTCTCTCAGAAACAGCTCCTAACCAGCTCACTGCAGGAGGAGCGCGCTTCACCCAGGAGTCCGCCTGAGGGCAACGGGTGCGGCGTTTTTTTTAGTACCCCACCTTCCTCCTCTTCCTCCTCCTCCTCCTCCTTCTCCTCCTCCTCCTCCTCCTCTACTTCCTCCTCCTCCTCCTCCTCGTTCCTGTCTCGTCCTCGTCATCTTCCTCCTCCTCCTGGGCTCTCTAGTGCGACAATGCACTGCAAGTTACCATGACTCGGCCGCTAGTGCGGCGTGGAAAATGTTTGCTTTGCGTGGGTCGACGCAGTAGGCGGCGTTAAGACGGCCCAAACGGTTGCCAAGACGTCCATCCACGGAGAAAAAGGAAGGAGGAAGAGAGGAGGCGGAAGAGAGGAGGAGGGGGAGAGGAGGGAGAGGGGAGGAAGAGAGGAGGAGGGAGAGAGGAGGAAGAGAGGAGGAAGAGAGAAGGATAACGGAAAGAAGAGAGGAGGAAAGTAGGAGGAGGGAGAGAGGAGGAGAAAGGAGAGAAGGTAGGAGGAAGAGAGGAGGAAGAGAAGAGGAAAAGAGGAAGAGGAACAGAGGAGGAAGAAAGGAGGAGGAGGAAGCGAGGAGGAAGAGAGGAGGAAGAGAGGACGAAGAGAGGAGGAAGAGAGCAAGAGAGGAGGAAGAGAGGAGGAGGAAGAGAGGATGAGGGATAGTGGAGGAAGAGAGGAGGAAAAGAGCAGGAAGAGAGGAGGAAGAGAGGAGGAAAAGAGAAGGAAGAGAGGAGGAAGAGAGGAGGAAGAGAGGAGGAAGAGGGAGGAAGAGAGGAAGAGAGGAGGAACAGAGGAGGAAGAGAGGAGGAAGAGGGAGAAAGAGAGGAAGAGAGGAGGAAGAGAGGAGGAGGAGAGATTTGGAAGAGAGGAGGAAGAGAGAGGAAGAGAGGAGGAAGAGGGAGGAAGAGAGGAAGAGAGGAGGAACAGAGGAGGAAAGGAGGAGGAGGAGGAGAGGAGGAAGAGAGGAGGAAGAGGGAGGAAGAGAGGAAAAGAGGTGGAAGAGAGGAGGAAGAGAGGAGGAAGAGGGAGGAAGAGAGGAAGAGAGGAGGAAGAGAGGAGGAAGAGGGAGGAAGAGAGGAAGAGAGGAAGAGAGGAGGAAGAGAGGAAGAGGAAGAGAGGAGGAGGGATAGAGGAGGAGGAAAAGAGGAGGACGAGAGGAGGAAGAGAGGAGGAAGAGAGGAAGAGAGGATGAATACAGGAGGAGGAAGAGAGGAGGAGGGAGAGAGGAGGACGAGAGGAGGAAGAGAGGAGAAAGAGGGAGGAAGAGAGGAAGAGAGGAGGAGAAAGAGAGGAGGAGGGAGAGAGGAGGAAGAGAGGAGGAAGAGAGGAAGAGAGGAGGAAGAGAGGAGGAGGAAGAGAGGTGGAGGGAGAGAGGATGAAGAGAGGAGGACGAGAGGAGGAAGAGAGGAGGAAGAGGGAGGAAGAGGGGGGAAGAGAGGAGGAAGAGATAAGAAGAGAGGAGGAGGGAGAGGAGGAGCATAGGAGGAGGAGAGGAGGAACAGAGGAGGAACAGAGGAGGAAGATATGAAGAGAGGAGTAACAGAGGATGAGGAAGGGAGGAGGAGGGAGAGAGGAGGAAGAGAGGAGGAAAAGAGTGGAAGAGAGGAGGCAGAGGGAGGAATAGAGGAAGAGAGGAGGAAGAGAGGAGGAGGAAGAGATGAGGAGAGACCTCCGCGGCTTTCGTTTTGTTTTTTGTTTGTTTTTTATGCTTATGAGGCGTGGGAGGAGAGGAGGAGTTGGTCTTGAGTTTCTGGGGGGCCCCATCCGTTCCCGAAGCGGCGACGCAGTCGGGTGATGTTTGGCCCCTCCTCCGTCGACATGTTGGGCAAGGTCATATTTGTGCATTCCGTGCCATCGAACTTTGAAGTTGCCCGCAAGCGTTGATTGAATGGATCGTTTCCTTGCGCAGCCGTCCACATGTGATTGGAACGCACGGGTTGACAATGTTTTTTTTCTAAGAGTGTCGTTATGCAGAGGATGACTGCACTGAAACCAGTTCTGGAATTGCCCATCATGTTTCCCGGCGATATGGTATCCCCTTGTGATTGTTACGGCGACGCCTGTTTGCAATTGTGTGTCGCAGGGATGAAGCTACACAATTTGCAACAGTGTTTTATGTGATTGCCTCGAAGAGTTTGGTGGGGAGGCGCTTGTAGGAAATATACCCGCAATCGTTGCCTGGTTATTGCATTCCTTTCAAGCGCGCCCGCCGGACCACGAAGCGAGAACCCAACATGGCGACATTAGCCACGCCACTGGGCCGACGAAATTCCTACAGCAGCTGGGGGTCATAACAGATGACCCCCCCTACCCCAGTGCCGTGCCGCTTCGAATTCCTACCGAGAAATTATACGATCAGATTGTAGATCCCACGGTATGTTTAAAGAAGCTGGCAGTTGCTTTCGAGCGCGGGTTCCCATGCACGATTGACTCTGGGCGAGCGCACGCTCGCGTCCAAGACGCCGTCAACAAGATACCAGTTGCATCCATGATCGGCGTGCATGAGAATTACACAGCGCCGCAACTATCCAAGAAATTGGTCCGATATTGGGCCAAGGCGTCATTATGCGTTGATGGAGTGACTGCCCATTGACTGAAAGCAGTGGTGGCTGACCAAAAGCAAGGTTTGAGTTGGTTCCCTGACGGCATGCCCGCTTCAGTGCTTCAAGATAAATTCGGGTTGTGGCCGTTCGACTGGACGGTGTTTTACTGCCTTGTCGATAAGATCGATACCCCGGCATTGGATCTCAGCGCTAACGTTGACCGCCTCAAAGAGACGGCGACGGCGTACCACGCAGACCACGGCTATCCTCCGAACCCGGCCAATTTGGCATGCATGGCCCTGGAACCCTCTGGACAGGCGCAGAAAAAGGCCAGGTTATCTCGGCCGTCGGGGAGGATCGGAGAGGCGCAGGAGTACTTGGGGTGCGAGGCCCCTTGCATGGAAGAGGCAGATGGCCCATCGGGGCCGGCCCATTGGGGCGGCCCGAATACGCCGGGCGAGATTGAGACTTGGGCGCGCGCGCTCCCGCTGCACACGACTGCGGCCCTGAGTTCCAAGAGCCCGGGAGTCTGGGAGTGCCCAGCTTGCCGCGCGATTGAGGATGTGCGGCTGCGCAAGATACAGAAAACTGCGTGCCCCGGTTTCCCCCTTCCTGGGGGCGACCAGCATCGCATTTTCCTTCGCCGCTACATTTCCCAGATGCGGGGGCCCGCCTGCCCAACCTGGGTCCCGCAGAAAGTTCTTCGCATTGCGCAGAGCGCTTGAGGCTGACAAAAAATGCGCGGCCGCTGCTTTCGCCTCGCCGCCGCTTTCGCGGTCGCCGCCGCCGTTGCCGTGGGACGAGAAACAAACAGTCCAAGACAAAACGCTGGTCCCGCGAATGTTGCACAAGTGCCCAAGGTGTACATAATCGCATTGGAACGACGAAAAGCCGAAAACTTAAAAAACCGCATTACGTTCTGGACTTGTACGTTTTGTTTGAAACGTTGTGTTTTAGGACGAGAAACAAACGGTCCAAGACAAAACGTTGGCCCCGCGAATGCTGCACAAGTGCCCAAGGTGTATAGAATCCCATTGGCACGACGAAAAGCTGAAAACTTTGAAAATCGTATTGCGTTCTGGACTATACGTTTTTGTTCAAACAGTGTATTTCAGGACGAGAAACAATCAATCCAAGACAAAACGCTGGTCCCGAGAATGTTGCACAGGTGCCCAAGGTGCACAGAATCCCATTGGAACGACGAAAAACTGGAAACTCTGAAAACCGCATGACGTTCTGGACTCAATACATGTTTGCTCAAAGTGTATTTCATAACGAGAAACAAACAGTTCAAGACAAAACGCTGGTCCCGCGAATGCTGCACAGGTGCCCAAGGTATATAGAATCCCATTGGAACGACGAAAAGCTGAGAACTTTGAAAACCGTATTGCGTTCTGGACTCTTATACGTTTTGTCTGAAACACTGCGTTTTAGGACGAGAAACAAACAGTCCAAGACAAAACGCTGGTCCCGCGAATGCTGCGCAAGTGCCCAAGGTGTATAGAATCCCATTGGCACGACGAAAAGTTGAAAACTTTGAAAACCGTATTACGTTCTGGACTCTATACGTCTATGCTCAAACAGTGTATTTCAGGACGAGAAACAATCAATCCGAGACAAAACGCTGGTCCCGAGAATGTTGCACAAGTGCCCAAGGTGCACAGAATCCCATAGGAACGATGAAAAGCTGAAAATTTTGAAAACCGTATTACGTTATGGATTTCGACGTTTTTCTTGAAACGAGGAACAAACAATTCAATACAAAACGCTGGTCCCGCGAACGTTGCCGTGGACGGCGCCGTCAGTCAGCAGGCGCAAGCGCGCCTCGGCGCCATCGTCGGGACAGCCGCAAGGGCAACCAACGGGGCAACCGCCATTACGCGCCATGCGCGTAAGACATCAAACTACCTTCATAAGAACTACACCATGAAAACAAAATGCCCTAAGACAAAGAATGCCGTAAGGAAGCAGCCGACCATAAGAAAACGAACCACCATAATTAACAGCTCCGTCCTCCCGTTCCGTTCCGTCCGTCGGCGCCGTTCCGTCCTCCCGTTCCGTTCCGCCCGTCATCCCGTTCCGGGAACGTCGGCCGTCTGGGAGCGTCGGAAGCTCGAAACGGCGAGAACCTTCACGTTAGGTCGCTGTCTCAGGGTGGGCGGCTGTCTTAGGGTAGTTGCAGAGTTGCAAGCGGAGTGCCCTTTGCACAGCCAGGCTTGTTCGTCGATTTGTCCAGGAGCCTTCGGTACATGGTTCGGTTTCTATGGTCAATGCCATGTGTTCCGGCCCAGGGTAGAAGGAACACGGGGAGAAGGGAGGAGGAAGTGAGGAGGAACAGAGGACGAGAAGAAGGGAAAGAAGGAGGAAGGGACTAGGAAGAGAGGAAGAGAAAAGGAGAGAAGGGAGGAGGAAGGGAGAAGGAAGACAGGAGGAGGAAGAGGGGAGGGGGAAGAGAGGAAGAAGGGAGGAGGAAGGAAGGAGGAAGAGGGGAAGGAAGGGAGGAAGAAGAGAGGAGGGGGAAGAGAGGAGGAGAACGGAGAAAAGGGAGGAGGAAGAGAGGAAGAGGAAGGAGGAGGAAATGAGGATGAAGAGGGGAGGAGGAAGAAAGGAGGGGGAAGAGAAGAGGAGAAAGGAGGAAGAGAGGAGGATAACGGAAAGAAGGGAGGAGGAAGGGAGGAGGAAGAGAGGAAGAGAAAGAAGAGAAGGGAGGAGGAAGAGAGGAGAAGGAAGAAAGGAGGAAGAAAGGAGGAAGGGAGGAGGAGAAGGGAGGAGGAAGAGAGGAGGAGAAAGGAGAGAAGGGAGGAGGAAGAGAGGAGGAGGAAGGAGTGAAGGGAGGAGGAAGGGAGGAGGAACACAGGAGGAGGAATAGAGGGAGGGGAAGAGAGGAGGGAAATGGGAGGAAGAGAGGAGGAAAAGAGGAGGAGGAAGAGAGGAGGAAGAGAGGAGGGGAACGGAAAAATGGGAGGAGGAAGAAAGGAGGAGGAAGAGAGGAGGAACAGAGGAGGAACAGAGGATGAGCGGAGGAGGAGGGCGAGAGGAGGAAGAGTGGAGGAAGAGAGGAGGATAACGGAAAGAAGGGAGGAGGAAAAGAGGAGGAGAAAGGAGAGAAGGAAGGGAGGAAGGGAGGAGGGACAAACGAGGAAGAGAGCAGGAGGAGGACAGGAGGCAGAGAGGAGAAAGAGAGGAGGAGAAAGGAGAGAAAGCAGGGGAGAAAGAGGAAGAAAGGAGAGAAGGGAGGATGAAGAGAGGGGGAGAAAGGAGAGAAGGAAAGAGAACGGGAGGAGGAAGAGAGGAGGAGAAATGTGAAAAGGGAGGAGGAAGGGAGAAGGAAGAGAGGAGGAGGAAGAAAGGAGGGGGAAGAGAAGAGGAGAAAGGAGGAAGAGAGGAGGAAAAGAGGAGGAGGAAGAGAGGAGGATAACGGACAGAAGGGAGGAGGAAGAGAGGAGGAGGAACAGAGGAGGAACAGAGGAGGAAGCGAGGAGGATGGAGAGAGGAGGAAGAGAGGAGGAATAAAGGAGGATAAAGGAAAGAAGGGAGGAGGAGGAGGAAGAGAGGAGGAGAAAGGAAGGAAAGGAGGAGGAAGGGTGCAGGAAGGGTGGAGGAAGAGAGGAGGAAGAGATGAGGAGGAACAAGAGGAGGAAGAGATGAGGAGAAAGGAGAGAAGGGATGAGGAAGACAGGAGGACAAAGGAGAGAACGGAGGAGGAGCAGAGGAGGAACAGAGGAGGAGAAAGGAGAGAAGGGAGGAGGAAGGGAGGAGGAACACAGGAGGAACACAGGAGGAGAAAGGAGAGAAGGGAGGCGGAAGAGAGGAGGAGGAAGAGAGGAGGAGGAATAAAGTAGGAAGAGAGGAAAAAGAGAGGAGGAGGAAGGGAGGAGGAAGAGAGGAGGAACAGAGGATTAGAAAGGAGAGAAGGGAGGAGGAAGGAAGGAGGAAGAAAGGAGGAGAAAGGAGAGAAGGAAGGGAGGAAGGGAGGAGGAAGAGAGGAGGATAACGGAAAGAATGGAGGAGGAAGGGAGGAGGAGAAAGGAGAGAAGGGAAGAGGAAGCGCGCCATGCGCGCAAGACAACAAACTACCTTGAGAACAATTACCCCAAGAAAACAAAATGCCTTCCATAACTAACAGCTCCGTCCTCCCTTTCCGGTCCGCCCGTCGTCGCCGTTCAGTCTGGCTTCCAAGTTTGTCCCCTCGATTGTCTTTGCGGGTCAT